CAGAGGACCCCTCTGATATGACAGTTCCCATCATTCCTGCAGTAGTTGTTTTTGTTCTCATCATCGTTGCTGCTGCTGGATTTGCTGTTTACAAAAAGAAGAAAGGTGAGAGATTCAGAAGCAACAGTGCGAAGCTCAGTTACATTATTTCTGTATTACTGTCTATATTAAACATGGTTATCGTGAATTTATGTAAAAGAGTGGGATTGGGTTTTTTTTTCAGTTTCAGAGAGGCCACCTACATCATGTAAGTACGACTTTATTGTTTTTTATTTGTATTTTCCGCTTTGGTCTGACAGTTTGGATTTAAAACATTATTTGTGTAACCGATATATTTTTTCTTTGGCTTTAACAGCTCCTGACAACAATGCTGAACAGATTCAACTGAATCAGGTTAAATAGACAAACGCAGGACTCTGCACTCTCCAGTTAAATAAGAATAAAGTTGTTTTTTTTAATTTTGTTATATGAACTTGACTTTTGTTTACTTTTTAATTGTTTTATTAAAAAGGAATATTCAAATGTTTACAATACATTTAGGCATTTTCATTTTTGTCTACGAGTCTCTGTATCATTACAGCTCAAACTGTTTTGCTCTATTCTAAACTATTGTAGGGACAACAAATTTGTTGAGTGGTGCTGTCTTTCTATTTCTGTTTCTTTAGAACCTCCGCTTCATTTTCTATTGATTGTTGTGTTTTAAATGTGAGATTCTGTGTCATGTGATACCAGTGATATGTTTCTCAGAACATTTTCATTTATCAAAACTGTTAAAGCTGCTCTCTATGTTGGAGTGCAGTCAGTGAAAAAAATCCACAAAAATAAATTTGTGAAAATACAGAGACTAAAAATGAAGAAGCCCAAAGTAAAATAAGAATGCAGAAAAGTCTTAAATAAAACTAGTCTTGTGGCTCTTTACACACAAAAAAAATTTTTGTGTGTAGTTTCATATATTGTCCTCTGTTATTATTATATTTTATTTAAGTTTTGTTATTAAATATGTTTTGTCATATTAAAGTTATCCGTTTAAGCTTCAGTCTGTTTAACTTTCTGGACGTTTTGTTTGTTTGAATGTTTGTTTGTGTTTCATGGAAAAAAGAAAAAAAGAATCTCATATTTTATTTAGATTTTTTGGAATTGATTTTCTCAGCTACATAAATAGGATCTATCTTATGTGTTATAATTATTGATGTCAAAATAAAATCAAAATAAGTAAAGTCCAACAGAGGGAAGAGTGTGCCGTTCTTACAATTATAGATGATTTATTTTCTCAAACTTCTCAAGAAGCGGCAACAACATCTGTAAATTATGGAGACTGCAATGTGTCATTCATTCTGTTGGTCCCTAATGTGCATACTGGGGTAATATTTAGGAAGAAAAGTGAAAAATAAAATCAATTAATAGAAAACGAAATACTATATTTACAAGGTCACACAATATTAGAATATCAGTTACTCAATATGCCAATAATTTTTCAAAGACAAAAATTATAATCCAGTTGGCTGGAAACAAATATTAATAAATAACATGATTAATAATTATTACATAAATTATACAGTGAATAAAAAAATAAATGAAAGAACTAGTTGCCTTCGTTTGATAGAGCTGCATGTTAAACGTACGGAAAGACTTCAGGGCTACCGGCAGAGCCCGCGGGCACGTCGCTGCAGCCCCCTCTGGCTTCAGCTCCGTGGCTGCTCTGTGACCCCACGTCTGGGGCTCTCCTCAGTTCTTTCCAGGAGGGTGGCACAGTGGTCCTCCTTGGGCACTTGTGCTGTGGGGGCCTCTGGATGTCTGGGGCCTGAATCTCCTCATGCCTGCTTCATGCCCTGGGAGACGGAGCTGTGTCCTGCGTGCTGCACAATAATATTCAATATTTAAGTATTTACTGTTACATTTATTTAGGTTATTGCAACAATATTGTGTGTATTGTGTTGTTCTATTTTCGGTTGTTTTCTCTTTCTTTTTCCTCTCTCAACACTGTCCCTCTCTCCCTCTGTTTTTTTCCCTCCCTCTCTTTCTTTCTTTCTCCCTTTCTTATCCCCCAGTCGTGTCTTTCCTGTCTGTAATATTTTAATTAATATTCATTTAAAAAAAAGAGTTCAGGGTTTAGTTCTGTACATCACTGAAGCACATTTGTTTGTTTACCCAAGACCCAGAAAAAACACAACTCTCAGTAGGTCCTCATGCAGTGAACAGTCCCACTGAGGGAACTATGATTATACTTCATTCTTTATTAATATTTTTATTAAGCTGTTAAAATTATATTTCAGTCTTTCAGAGGACTGAAACTTTGGACAGACGACAGGATATTGATATAGTTTTCTTGGTCTGAAAGTTTAAAAGACAAATAGATGATAAATTGATTTATATCATTTTTTATTTCCATGTAAGAAAACAGGATCAATGTTTCAGCTTTAACAGCAGTTTGAGCTGATCTTGAGCACAGTTTTTACTTCATTTTACTTTAATAGGTACGGATGCAGGACGAGGAGATGAAGGGAAGCGCAAGTAAAACCTTAACAAAACGTTTTTACAACACTAAAACATAAAATACCATTGATCAACTCTAAATAAAATCCAAACAGTTAAGAAAACAAGAAAACAAACAAGAAAACACCTAAAAGAAAAAATATAAAAGAAAAAATGTAAAAAAAAAAAAAAAAGAATTTGTTGTACTTCAGCTTTTTGTCCTCCTTTCCATTTCTTAAAAAAATGGCATCTTGATCGTCACCTTTCCATACGAACCTCTTCTGAAGTTCAAAATTTCAGTTTATTCAGTGCTTAGTGAACATATCACTGTATGTTTATGATTACATTTAGCTTAATGTTTCTCACAATACAGTCTTTAATCTCCTGTCTTACAAAATAACATACAGGAGAAATATATACAAACAAGAGAAATATATGCATAACAACAGAAGGTACAAATACATGCAAGAATATGGACTGCACAGCAATACAGCAATACCAATGCTTCATAAAGACCTGTAGATAACTTAGAGGATCTATTCAAGCTTAGTGCATCATTACAACACAAATGTAAACACACACACA